CAACATAATCTTTAAATTTAGGGGCGGACATTAGCAACTTTTTTTTTCGACCCAGTCTAATGTGCCCGTATGTGATACATTGTATGTTAATTTTGTTTTAGGTGTAATTTGAATTGAAGCACTTTTTATTATTGTTTAGGAAGTTGTTTTGTTAAATAAAATATTGCAAGCATTGCTTGTATGCCAATGAAATGCGAAAGACATTGGTGCGATTACGGGTGGAAGTAAGTAATTATATATGTACATACTCTGATAGCCAAACGTCAATTAGGGCATTGGCCTCGGTTACTGTGGGCTCAAAGGCCGGATAACTCTGAAATCTGCCGTCTGGAGCGTTTTTCGCTCTAAATTAGCAATTAGCGTTTGTAGTGGTATCACAAAATAATACGGAGCCCTGGTTTAGGACAACCATCTTAGCATAAGCTAATACCGCTGGTTACAGCATCTTATTGGAACTTGAACAAATATTTGTTGACAAGTATTTAAAAATATTAGCCAGAAGCTGACAAAAATTCAAATTCTGTAAACTATAAATAAATTAGTTAGTGGTTACGCTTACGAAAAAACCAACTTTTGAACAAGTAAAGGCTTTGTGTACACCGGAAGCTTTATAGTATGTACATAGTTAGACACGTTTCTATTTTCGACAACATTACTTGTTATTTTCCGCTGGAGACGTTGGCGCAAGTGATACAAATAAATAACAATAGCACTTAGTATTCGTATAAGTATTGTCACTTCATTCCACACAGTCTTTTCGCTATTCGCTTTAGTAATTCATATAACTAAGAATATTTATGCGCCGTGGGGAAAGATTCTCTAATTAAGTATGCAAATTGTGAGAATTGACAATGATTAGGAAGGAGAATAGAAATAATGAAAACTAAGGGCAACAGTAAATGTAACAAAGAGCAACAATGTAAAGAATATAATGAAGCCGCGCCGATGCGATAAGATTCGAGTTCAATATGTGCACTGCCGGAATAAAGTGTTGGCACAGCAAATTTTTCACAATATATGCAACAATTTTTACTCTAATATTTTTCAGCCAATTTTGTAAAAGAATATGGTTCATTCTACAACAAGAAATATAAAAATATATAATAAAGTATGTAGTTTTGCAGCCCATTAGATTCTTGTAAAAAAATGCAAGTTCGGAGTTAGTCTAAAATCGCATTAATTTTTGAGAATTTTTTTATTGAAGGTGTTTTGCAATTTTTCTATATAAAGTATTTTCGAAAAAAAAATTTTTGTATTGGGCTACAAATCTGCAAACTCAAAAAATTCTATAAAATCTGATTAAAAAGTTGAAAATTTGCACGAAAATTTGCTGAATTTTCGCGAGTTTTGCACACAGTTTAGGAAATACAATACATGTTTATGTGGTGGTGGTCCCATGCTAATCTGGTGTAGATCCGATCATTGGATCATGAAATATATATATATATATATATTTTTTTTTGTTTAAGTCGTGTTTTTGCTAAAAATTGCTTGTATTTATTTAGTTATTTATATGAGAATTGAAGTCGGTTCGTTTTTTGCTTAAAAATTACTTGTTCATATCTCTGGAGGGCTTTGGCAGGACTTGGAATTGACCCGATGCATTCCAGTCGATAATTCGGTGAATTAAAAAAAAAAAACACTAACCGGCCGTCTTCACGTGCCGGGAAATCTCGCTTGCGTGACGTGATTCTTGGCAAGCAACCCCGGGATTTTCGACACTTAAAAAAGTCGGGATCCCGGGATTCCGGGGTTAACATTCCTAGTATGTATGTACATATGTACTATCATAATAAATCAATTTAATTTTTGGAAGCTGCATTGCGTTAGCATCAAATATATTATTTCTGTATTGCCTCTGCCAGTTGACAGTTGAATTGAATCGGTGAAGCACGAAATACTGGTGCATAGTGGAAGATGCGATTTTCTCTTATCCGTTTAACAATTATTATTTTTATTTTTGTTATAATGTCAACATGTGCAGCAATAAATTGTCAACCCTGTAAAATACAGGAGGCACGAAAAATACATGCGGAGGAAATGCAGAGAAAGGCGAACCAAAATAGAAATACTACAGTGGCGGCATAAATAGGGAGACACTCCTTTTATATCCATGCTCAAAGGATACAAATTTTAAAGTTTTTGATAATAAATAGTTTTCAGTCATAAGTACATACATACGTACATATGTACATACAGTAAGTAATTCACGCTTTATAGAATATTTTTTACATTAAAGTGGGTGAAAAAGAGCAAAATAAATTAGCCGACAGTAAGTGATTGTTTTAATATACAACAAATACATATGAGTATATATGTATATGTATGTATGTAAAGCAGTCTGGTTGAGTAGTTAGTTCACAAATTATTACTCATTCAAATGAGTTGTACGTAAATAAGTCGCTCACATACTTCACCTTGTACATATGCCTGTATGTATGTACATATATAACTATAAATATACGAAGTGCCAAACATTTAGCAAAGCAATAATTAAAAAACCACACACAAATATTTACATATGTACATTAGGGTGGTCCAAAAGTGCATATGACAAAGTAATGTCGGAATTTTAATGCTTTCACCACCTAGGATCGTTCTATACCGAAAAAAAATTATACATAAAATTTTGTTTTTTGTTTTCGAACCAAAAAATATTTAGAGGTCGCTCAAAGCGATCAAATTTTTATAAAACAAGTAATTTTCACCAAAAAAAAAGATCGGATCTAAACCAGATTAGTATGGGACCACCTCTGAGATACTACCTTTCCGATGCAAAAAGATGCGGTAACATATGTACATAAAAAAAAAAATATTCCGACGAACTGATAACCTCCTCCTTTTTTGGAAGTCGGTTAAAAAGTGGATAAATAAACCTAGGCTATTGTTACTGGAAGTCGTCTGAACAGAAATAAAGTTTTTAGATCGAAAAATATAGATTTTCAAGAATTCTATACTATTTCTACGAAAACTTGTTTTATTGTTTTTTTGAGCGATCTCTAAATATTTTTTGAATCCAAAAAAAAACGCGTATAATTATTTTCAGTATAGAACAATCCTAGGGGTGAGAGCATTAAAATTCCGACTTTACTATTTTTGGACCACCCTAATGCACATACATACCTACAAACTACTTACGAACCTACGCTATTGTGCTAAAATATTTTATATACGTAAAGTACGCTGAATCAACAGACTTATTTAATACATAAGTACACAAGAAAAACGTTTTTGCGTTGCTCATTTACTCATCACCGGCTTTTCTCTTCGCCTCATTTACTTTCAATCGCTTTTAGTTGGATCGCCTGTCAGCGTCACACTCCAGTTTTAATTCAACTCGCAAGTCGATCGTTTCGTCGTTTTAGTTTACGCAAAGTTTAATTAAAACTGCCTGCATACGAATCTCAATCCCGATTTTACGTACACCAGGAAAATGAAATCCTTTTCGCTGTTCACCGCATTGGTGGTGCTCTTTGCTGCATTCGCCACAGTGGCACAAGCATCCTTCTGTCCTTGTGATCTCACGCAAAAAGGACAAATATGCGGTTCGAATGGCATCACCTACAAAAATCGCTGTGAGTTCGAGTGCACTCAGAAGGACTACAAGAAGTTGGGTCGCACGTTAAACATCGCCAAGACGGGTGCCTGTTAAGCTTGATGGATATAAAATGGATTGAGGAGAGCAGTGGAGGCCATGCTTTGATGTTTGTGACAGGTGTATCAGATAGTAGTAGTTAAATGAGATACTGGGCGTTTGGTGGTGGAAGTTGAGTTTAAGGTAAAACGGAAGGAAATCTACAAGAAACATTAGTTGAATGAAGCAACGTACAAATACATATTTACATGTATAAATATTTACTATATGATTGGTTGTTAGAGTAAAAGAGATTAATCAGTAGCAGCGACATATACATACCTACATACATACATATATATATCTATATAGTGGCAATTATGCGACACACTCTAGTTATTTTGATCATATTGAGATTTTAAGCACTTATTGTGACCGCAATAATAATAACCAATTAAAATGGAATTAATAAATTATAGCGTACTCGGTTGAAAACCAAATTTAAGTGTTTAATTTAACGTCAGTGTGATCGAGATGCTTCCCCAATCTAGGTGGGAAAAGATACATATCGGGCCTTAACCGCCAAAAGAGCGTAAGCCAACATTTTTTAAAATTTTCTTTTTGATGTAGAAATGTATCTAGATGCTCTTGGAGGATTTCTGCACCGGCGGTTAGGATTCGATATATATATAAATGTAAAATAAGTGTCACATATGTGTTTTATACGCCAATATAAATAAATGTATATACACATATCGCTCGTTTGATGTGGAACGCCACAACTCAAAGAAACAAAAAAAAAAAACAATAAAAAGCGCTTTTTAAAGCTATCTGACAAAAATGAACACAAACTAAAAACATTTACTTAACAATTCCAAGCTTAAAATTTATTTCAGAGAATAAATATTATATCGAAGCATAATTTAGTTGAACAAAGAGGAAGTGAAGTGAGCAAAGTTCGAACTGATACAAATTCCCCTTTCAGGAGACACAATTAGGGGATTCAATAAAAAATTTTAACGTCGTAATGTCTTAAAGTCGTGCTAAATTTTTTAGTGTAAAATAACTTTGCTTTTACATTTTAAAACTTAATTTTTCGCAAAAAAATATCAAACTTACGATGCTCGCTCAAGAACCTAGTTTAGGTTGCGTTTCACCAAACTCATATAAGTGGGAATTAATTTTAATTTAATTTTTTATTTAATCCTCAATTAATTTTTTTTTCAGTTTCCATAAGCCCTATATTTTAGTGAATAAAAATACAGCAGCACCGTGCTAAAGCGGTAGTAAAATCAGGGCTGTTACATAAGTAAACAGCTGATACACAATATTGTGGTGTGTGTATATTGCTCAGCTGCTTAATTGTGTAACTTTTCTGAGTGTGGTTATTCCGATTTAAGTTTTATTTAAGTGAAGGGCATAGGTCACTTTAATCAAAATTAAAAAAAATTTAAATTACTGGTGTAGGCAGAAATTCGAATATTAAAATAATTTTCACTTAAATTAATCTGGGCTCGAATCGCAACATCCGTTCACGGATCGACCATACGAAAGAAAATTACGTGATACCGTCAGTCGTATAAGCTGAGCGGGATAAAGAGTTCGTTCACGTATGTCATAATCCGAAAACGGTGTTTTTACGTGACGAGTAATACGATATCGTATGTGATGATTCGAGCCCTGGTTTAACGCAGCCTTAAACATTTTAAATTAATTTTTTAACCAGCTTAAGAGAAGCGCTGATGCCCGAATTCACATACTTAATCCAACGTTGTTGTTTTTCTTGTCATGACTTTCTTCCAGCAACGCAGCAATATGTTGATTAGCTTTAAAGCACTGAGGGGCACTGCCTTGCCCGCGGGCTAAGCTATTTTAAGCTTTCTCTACACTGTGTAAATGCGGATGGAATTTTTATTTCATCATAAACTTTGGACCAAGGCGAATTCATGCAATTCTCTGAAATGCGCAAAAATGTAGCCAGTGAAAGTTCACCATTTCGGCAGAATAATTTATCATTTTTAACGCGTTGTTCGGTGATAAAAGGTTCTATAGCCGCATGAAAGGCGATGAAATTTGCAAATATAATTTTCTAATTTCATACAAATCTTGACCTTTCAGTTTAAGAGAAACCCCTAAATAGTTGATTATTTGATTGTAATAAATGAATGCGTGGCGCTTAAACGTTTTCTACGTATTTGGCAGAGCTTCTCCTCCAACTTATGTTCTAATTCTTGATGTTGTTACACAAATTGAGGGATTTATACCTCGTCACCACTTCCGAAGAAGCTTTTTTATGGTAAATAGAAGTCCATTCGGAAGTTTGCCTTTATCTGCCGATGGACGACTGCTATTTCAAAAAAAAAAAAACTGTTCAAATTCGAATAAGAACAGAGAAAATGCAACGAAGTACTAAAACAAAGTTAAAATAAAACCGAACGTGAATTTGTCACTGATTTTTATTTGTTTTAATTTTGTATAAAAAACTTTGTACTTAATTTGCTTTGCTCTTTTTTACATAAAAGCTATATTTACTGTTAATAGTTTTATTGCAACTATTGGTCATGACGTGAGCATTCTCACGTGGCAACTTTAATTTCTGAAACTGATTTCCGAAAAGTGACAGAAAGGTCTTTCTGGCTGTTCATACGTGGAAATAAATGTTCTATTTCTCAGTTTGACAGCGAATTGCGAGAAATTGGAAATATTGCCAAGGCTGACACGCTCTTAAGATGCTGCAATAAATCATCGCCACTGCCCTGAATCCAATCCTATCATACCTGAATTTTGTAAATAAAAAAGTAAAGTATACCTTCTAATGAGTTTTGGTGACCGTAATCTGGCCTATTTTGTTGAGTTTTATAGATCTTTGCTATGCATAGTTTTCAAGAAAAATGTCTAAGTTCATTTCTATCAACTTACATATGTAAGTATGAATCCGACTTATTTAAAAGTTCAGACAAATCGATGGCCAACGCGTAGAAAATAACCATTATTTGATATATTTAATATACACGTACATACACTGAGGAAAATAATTCATAGTAAAAATGAATACTTCTTATTTAAAAATAATGTTTTTATCTTGATTATTCACTTCACTGATGCTTTTTCAGAACGAACGCGATCATTTTAATATGCGCGTAGTTTAATTGAATATTTACCTCTATACAGTACCTTCGTTAACTTTTTAGTAAGATCAACTACGTTATAATTGGTTTTAATATTTTTTTCCTTCAGTGTATGTTTGCATTGTATTGATATTTTTTTTTAGAATAGCCCACTTTCTTCTTATGATTACTAAAAACCTCTGCACTAGTGCCAAGGTGGGAGGCAGCAAATTGTTTTAAAGCTATCAATTTCTCCTAGGAGATAGAAATTTTGATATTGCATAGTACTATGAATATATGAAAAGAGATCTTTTGCTATAAAGTGTTCCCATAACGCAAGTAAGTACATAAAATAAAGTGTAAATGTTTCGAGTTTTACCTTCTAATTGAATTGCTAATGCTTCTATTTTGGTTTTACATATATGCCGTTATTGGGGCTCGTTGTTTATTTATTTCTGAATAAGGCGTAACATTTGAATATATGTGTTGCTAAATTTTTATCGCTTTGCACTTTGTTTAAACTTATTGTGCATTTGCTTATTTTTTCATTATTTAAATGCCCGCTTTAACGACTGAGGTCGATCAAAGCTTAAACGTAAGCAGACAATAAATTCATTTAAAAAGTTTAACTCAATACGTATTTACATACATTTATATACAAACATACATATGTATGTATATTAGGGTGGTCCAAATCAGTAAAATCAGAATTGTAATGCTCTCACCCCCTAGGGTTTGTTCTATATCGAAAAAAGTAGACCCCTATTTTTTTATTTTGAAATCAAAAAATAGTTAGAGGTCGCTCAAAGCGCTAAAAGTTCCCCATGTATTTTTATAAGGAAAAAAAAAATTTCGTAGAAATGGTATAGAATTCTTGAAAGTCAATAATTTTCGATCGGAAAACTTTGGTTATCTTCTGGAGACTTTCGGTAATAATACCCAATTGTTGATTTAACCATTTTTTAATACTAACGATTTTTTATTGGTCGCCCCATTGCATTTTTCGGGGTTTTTGTGGGTTTTTGGCGGACCTGTAAATTATAGTTGCAATGAACAGATGTTTAAATAAACAATTGGGTATTATTATTGGGAACCACTCGCAGATAAACAGAGTTTTCTGGTAGAAAAATATTGATTTTTAATTATTCTATACAATTTCTACGAAAAGTGGTTTTTTCTTCATATAACACACAGAAAACTTTGAGCGCTTTGAGTGACCTCTAAATATTTTTTGATTTCAAAACAAAAAAAAAGGTATATTTTATTTCGGTATAGAACAATTCTAGCGGCAGAGAGCATAAAAATTCCAACTTTACTTTTTTACATGCATTTTTGGACCACCCTAATGTAGATACATACATAAACATACACATATATTTATACACTATTGTTAGGTACATACATATTATGTACTCATGTAATGGCTCTTTGCGTGGATGTACGCTAATTAGAGGCTTCAGTGAATTTTCTGGATGTGCTCTTTATTTCGTCAGCCGACTTCTGTTCGTTTGGGTAACCTTGTGAATCTTCAGTATGGGTAAATATTTACGTTTTAATTAGTCACTTGTTTTTATTGGGTATATTTTGTTTTTATTTATTGCTCTTTTTACTTGTTATCAGTTGTGCCTTTTATCTCTGACCGCCAACTTGTTTCTTTAGATATGATTTGATGTATTTAACGAGAATTAACTTGGAAGGATTCTTTAAAAATAATATGAATATTAAATTGAAATATTATTCATAAAAGATTGTGAAAGGTCTGAATAAATAGACATAACACTGAGTTTGAAGGTTTAGAGAGAGAGAGGTGGGCCTTTTATTAAAATTTGTCCGTTAAGTTCTTGAGGAAGAATAAATTAAACCTTCAAGGTTGCTTTATTTTTATTTTAGTATTTTTGACGTGCGTTTCAAAAGAAAACCAAATGTTATAAGATGCCATTGCAGGGTATCTCTTTAGGTTGTTAAATTTCATGTTAAAGCTATCAGCAATTTTTATTTACATCATTCTGCTAAAAACATTAACACGACCTGCTTTGAAAAAATCCAGTGTTAAGGAATAATTACACAGGTCAACAACGTTTTGTTCTAGGAAAGTGTAGGGTCATTTTCGAAGTAATTTTTTGCGTAGAATCCGAATCCGGGGTTTAAATTGCTCTATCACGTCAGGATTTTGAGATATCCTAACCTAAAAGTGCAAAAACGCTGTTTTTGCCCATTTTTGAG